GCCTCGTATGTGGCTGGCACCCTACCCACTGAGCTATGGGTGCCGCCCTGAAAAATGAAAACTTCTATTTTTACTTTTTTTTTTTGCAGTTTTTGGCCGGGGCTGGGTTCGAACCTACCACCTCTGGTATATGGGGCCAGCGCCCTACTCCCTTGAGCCACAGACACTGCCCTTTTTTTTTTTTTTTTTTTTTTATAAATTTTAATTTTGATTAAAGCTGAGGATTTCAGGGTGGAGTTTTGTCAGAACTGGTACTTTATTTTTATACCTTTTTAAAAACAGCAATATTTTTTCCTCAGATATAAAAGAAAACTTCTCATAAATGAATTTGGAAGAGAGAGAAAATCATCATCAGGAAGGTAAAGGCTGTTAACATTTCTCATTCTATCTGTAGGTTGTTAATGAAAAAAGAATTGAGAAAAGATGAGAAATGGTGATTGTGATAGCATGTATCAATCAGTACTACCCTTCACCAGTTTGTAACATTGTGTCTATTGTGTACTGAATTCTCATCTTTATAGACTCTGAACTGTTCCGTTACAATAAGATTTGGAATCTGGAGGACGTGCCCTCTTTCATTATTGTGTTTCAGCATTTTCTTGGCTCACCGTGGTGGTCTTAATTGCAAGGCTTGTTCTGTTAACTCTCATTTTTCAGTTCTGATTCAAAGGAGTCCATGTCTACTGTCCCAGCTGATTTTGAGACAGACGAAAGTGTCCTGATGAGGAGACAGAAACAGATCAACTATGGAAAGAACACAATTGCCTATGATCGCTATATTAAAGAAGTCCCAAGGTGGTCTTACTTGAGTGGCATGTTCTGAACAAGTCATGGGATTTTGCATTTGTAATGTTGTTTAGAAAAGGTAGTACATCTGATACAGAGAGTACATTTATGAATAGTTCAATAGTTCATATTTGAGAAGAACTGTTTATCAGGGACTTGACAGGAGCTTATGATACAAACAATGGATTAGTGACTGAAAAACCAAGGACATGAAAATTAAAAATAAAATCATCATAATTTGAATGTTAGATAATATTTTTTTCTCAGGTCTTAGAGTTATTAAACGATGGGGAAAAAAGGAAGTTCAAGATAAAGATTGTCAAGATTTAGGCAGGGTGTAGTGGCTTACGCCTATAATCCCAGCACTCTGTAGGCTGAGGCCAGTGAATCCCTTGAGCTCTCTTGAGGATTGCCTGAGCTCACAGGTTTGAGACCAGCCTGAGCCAGGAGCAAGACCCTGTCTTTACTAAAAATAGAAAAATTAGCTGGGCATTGTGGCATACTCCTGTAATCCTAGCTACTTGAGAGACTGACACAAGAGGATTTCTTTTTTTTTTTGAGACAGAGCCTCAAGCTGTCCCCCTGGGTAGAGTGCTATGGCATTACAGCTCACAGCAACCTCCAACTCCTGGGCTCAAG